CAACTATGAAATGGCTTTGCCCTATCAGACACCCCCCATCTATGAAGCAGCTCTCCCAGATGATCACTGCCGGTGAAGCTGACCCTCATTGGAAGCCGCTAGGAGCCTGGAGTAGGGAACCGAGGTGGAGACATGGAGGGATATTCAGGGATCTGTGTATATGGGTGCAGGGACGGGCTTTACCCGGGGTCCGTCACAGGGCTTCTTCAGGGTGTCTCCTATTGTATATTACATGTCGCTGTGTGCAATAAAGAATGTCGCAATGACCACCCATTGTGTGTCTCTTAAAGGGGAACTACAGCTCATATCATATTGTTTCAAAGCTGACACATTGTATGGAGAGAAGGAGTGATTGTCCAGGTAAAGAAAAAATAACTATGTCCCCTAATGCCCCTCCGTCAGTTATGAGGGTGACGGAGATCACGATGTACCTACTTAGGCCTTCTCTTCAATAATAACAGTTATACGATACAAAAGACGCTCATAATTGGGGGTCACATTGACAACGAAGGTTGTGTTGTATATTCCATTACACCAGAAAGGGTCAAATACAAAGACTTTGGTGTACAACCCAAGAGATTGTCTGGTAGGCTGCTTGGTGGGGTAGGAAAAGGTGGAGATGGGAGATGGAGTGGTACGGAAGCAGGAATTCTGAGGCTGGGAAGTGTATCCGAGAGATTGGAACCAGCCGACTTTAGTCTATGGGTGTTGAAGGTTTAGTAATCCGCAAAGTCGGGAGGCTGATAACGCTGTGACCGGGGACCACATTTTTAAAAGGAAGTCATTCTACGTTCACTATTATCATTGACCATCATCCTAGTTCTCTAGAGCTGACCCCATGAGAGGTCAATGTAACCGATGTCCATGGCACATCACTGAGCTCGGTCGCAGAATCGTCGCTGTCGTCACTTTCAGTGCCTGACGAGGAATTTCCCAACGAACCGCCATCGCTCAGATCTGCGAGCGATTCTAATTCACTATCGCTGTTTTCTAGCTGCTCTAAAACCGCTTTTGACCTAAAACAGCGACGATTCTGCGACCGAGTTCAGTGATGTCACAGGAGTTCCAGCACAGCGCTGTGCTAGGACTCCTGTATTGGAGGTGACAGGGGGTCAATAAA